TGTTCATTTTATTAAATCTTGTGCCTCGTCATGGAGGTAGTACGATGTTACTAACGAATACTCTAACTTCTTTCTCCTTCCTGTTTTTTAAAAAGTGGATACCTGATAGTATCGTTTGCAATGTTTCACGAGCTTCCTTCCATGCAGAGCGTCCCAAATGCAAAAACTTGTTAAGATTAGGCTGCAAAAAAAAAAAATTAAACAGATTAGCAGTGAAGTTTCATCAGCTGAGTACTCTACAGCAATCACGCTTGAAGCATCAATCCCATAAACTCACTACATTCCACTACATATTTATGCAAAATAGTGCAATTGGCTTCCATCTATGAATTGGTTCGAGTAGTTTAATTGCAATATCGGTTTTAAACATTAAACAATTTTCTGAATGATATTGAACACTAAGTATGAGCATACAAATACAATACTCCGATCAAAAACGGAGTAATCTGCCAGAGGAAACGGACAGACCTGATTGAAGCAGTCAGAAGACTTCAAACAAGGCCCATCAAAAAGACCTGCGGCGGCTATCACGGAGAGGTCCAAAACGTAGTCTCCTATAGCGACACCAGGCCTAGCGTCGGAAGCTGGTTCAGGCTTGAAAACACCGAAGGGGAGGTTCTCGAGTGGAAAGTGAGAGTCGGGCTTGACTTCAACAAACGATTTCAGGGCCATGGCGTTAGAGTGACGGATTCCGGTCAGGCGTGGGCGAGGCAATGATATGAAATGATATAAGCAGCGAAGCAGTGATGTGAGCAATAAAAAGGTAGAGGGTGCTTGCTGTATAGTGGACCACTCTCTTTTCCTTCTCCATCACTCGCTCCTTTATTACTCAGTATTTTATGCTTAAGTTTACTTTATTAGTAACAATAACTATGAAGTGTGTGAATGCTAAAGTAGCCAAACTTGCCCGTTACTTTTTAAGGGAAAAAAAAGACCAAATAAAAATGTCTATAGATAGTAAGTGCAATTTGGGGACGGATAGTTAGGGGTGGCCATGGTCCTGGACGGTTCGAGATTTGGTTTATCCCGGTCTCGTCCCGGATTTATAATGACGGTATGGTACGGTTCGGGATAAGTCATTATCCTAATGTTGTCCAACTTAAAATGAGATCGGGACAATCCGAGAAAAACTAGGACGGTTCGGGACATCCCATAAAATCAAGCATAACATCAAAATCAAGATGTGAATATTTTTGCAAATTTAACTTCCCTATAAGATTAAGCAAAACCACTAATTTTTCTTAAACATGTATTACTCACGATGCCCGCATTTCAAGAACATTAGTACAAAAAGATGTCTACATTGTAGGGTTTTTAGCATATATATGTGATATTTTTTTACTGCAGGGGTGTGGGGGGCTGGAGTAATTGAAACTCACTCAATTAAGTTTCGAACCCTTATGTGCCTAGCGGGTTTCGAACTCGAGACCTCCCACTAAGTACGGTAACCTCACAATATAAAAATCATTGCAATTCAAGTAGCATTTTAACCAAATGAAGAGCAAAAGCAAAATACATGTGTATGAGACTAAGAGAGAAGTGAAATAAAATAAAATTACACCAAGGAGGCTAATGGCTAGAAAGATTTAATTGAGCTCGGATATTACATAGCATTAGAAATTTAAAATAACCTACTAATTTTAAACGGGACTCTGGAACGGGACATGATATTGTATAGTTGTCTGGGTCCCGTCCCGGTTGATATCGGTACGAGACCGGTTTGGGATGAAAAAAATGCATCCTAAATGGATCGTGGTAGTTCCGGAACGGTATCGGGATAATTCGATTTGGAACTGGGATTTTTGTCCACCCCTACGGATAGCTACTTTTATACTCCTGTTTAGAGATACTCGGACCGAACTGTCCCGACCAAAATGCATGAAATTACATTGACTGGGTAACGGGTATGTGGCAGAGAATACTCGTTAATTTTGTTTCTACGAATAACGAGACGGTTACGATTTTATACTAGTCTACCCTATTACTCGCCTCGTATCCACTATGTTTATTTTTCGTTATATTTTGATTACACTTATCTATTATTTGTCTCACAACTAGTAAAAAATGATATTTTTGTCTTTTCATTGTGTGTGTATGGATAATGAATATACTAGTTATAGTGTATGAATGAAAGTTCGTAATATATTTAATAGTCTTGTTTGATTATTATAAAAAAATCGAGATTAATTACTTTTTAAGTTTAAGTATTTTTAGACTGAAAATAATTTAGGATGACTTCTTTCTTGTCTTGTAGACATACAACCAAACTTTTAAGTGATGTCTTATGTCTACAGTCATCTAAGTGATGTCATTTTTAGCCATTTAAGATATACTACATCCGTCCCTCTTATATTGGGACGGAAGAAAGTGACGTGATTATTAAAAAAGGTTGATTTGTGTGGTTGATATTAATTAATAAAGTAAGAATGATTTAGAGTCACATAAACTTTAACAAATATGGTATGAGACAATTTTAGTGGATTTCCCGAAAAGGTAAAACGGGTAAATATAAGGGGGGCGAGAAATTATTTGGGGGGGATGGTTATATGTATAATCATTCTCGATCCGCCCGTTGTCATCTCTACTCGTATGAAGTGATAGCATTTCTTATTTAATGTCATATATTATTGATAGATTCATATTTCACTACACTGAGAAAGAAAATAATACCGAGTTGAAGATTATCAATCTAGGACCTAAGTTGTCATGAATTTTATTATTTTTTCATTTTCAAAAAATTTAAATATTATTTAATTTTATTAAACTAATAAACTTTTCTGGGGAAAAGTTTATCAAATTAGAAATGGAATTAATAAAAAAATTAAATAAATGAAAACCTATGAAAGATTAGATCCTGAATTGATTATATTCCATAATTTGAGTCTTACACTGATACATTTCATCTTTCGGATCCTGAATTGATATTTCATCTATATTTCAGGTTATGAATTGATAACTCAACCACTATATTACAATAGCACAACTTAATACCTGGAATGTTCTACTTGGATTTATTCCAATCCCACACCAGACTAGATCAGTCCATATATGATCAAATAAGATCAACTTTGATATTTGTATCATACATAGAGAGTGGACATCAGTTCAGGCTTCAGACTATATCAAATCAGTTCAGACTAGATCAAATCAGTTCAGATCATATCAAACTAGTTTAGACCAGATCAGAGCAGATCAGACCAGTAAATTTTAGTCCACTTAAGAACATCATTCTTCTGTCCCAAGTATAAATTTCTTACTTCCGTTTTTTGGATGTCCCGATTAAAACTCTTCATTTCTCTTTTAGAAAATGAATAGTATTTTTAAATGATAAATTAGTCATTCAGTATTAAAAATAATTCACTTATAACATCACAATTATCATCAATAATCTTATTATATTCTATATACTCATCAAAATTACTTTTGGATACTCGAATTAATTACTTTATTTACTTTTTATTTAGATAGTCGAGCCATTTTTCAATGAGAAAATTAAATTGGGACGAAAGTCGTATTACGTACTCCCCTTCATATCGAAAAGGTTTGCCAAATTAACTTTTCTTGGTCAATGACAATCAACTTTGATCAATGGTATTCTTTAATACGAAATTATTTTGAATATGAAAATTATATCAAAATGTTCCTTATTCAAAATATTTTCATAAAAATATAAAACTTATAAATTAATATAAATATAATAATTAAAGTCAATGTCCAAAGTTTGCCACCATTTCACTAGGTTGAGGGACGGATCTACACTATCTCCCGCAACTTTTATTTTAATTAGTAGTATTAATTATTTAATTTGGGCTAGTATATTAGTAACTTCTGTATGAAGAAGTCATCAACCACAAGGAAGCTTCAGGCCATTCAAGGTTACTAAACCCCTATTAATTTGGCCTAAAATCCTATTAGAATTCTTCCAAATTATAGTTCAGTGGTACGCTCGAGTTCAAGTATTAATGAAAAAACAATTTGGCTGTTGATATACTTGTATGCTGCGGTCTCCCGTAGCAGTGACCTGAGATAAAGATGGGAATTTGGAGCTTTTTCTATCCATGTAATTTAAGTATTTTGTCATTTTTCATCTATTAGATATGAGATTCTTTTTTTGTTAACACGGTTATAAAACTTAGATTTGTGTTATTGCTTGAATATAATAATTGATTCAAAAATTGGTGAATGCTTTTTTTGTTTTTGAGGAAAAAATTAGTGAATACTTAAGAAATAATTTTTCTAAATTTTAATTTCCATGACGTTTAATCATATGTTTTTAATGTTTTAAAAGAAAACTAGTACATTGTTTAATGGTTATTGCATTTTTATCTTATATGTTAATATTTTTCTAATTTCACCCCGGCCCCTCCCCAGATCATATCCTGGCTCCGTCCCTGACTAGGTTTACCGGCCTATTTATTTATAGGGAAAAGGTGCAAATAGGCCCATGTACTAACAAAAAAAAGTCAAATAAGCCCTTATTTAAGAGGTTCTGTCCGGTCGTCGCCATTTGAGGTGGTTCCCGGTAAAAAATTTTGATGAATTTTTTTGAGCATCTTATTCATCAAGTCTAGTTTACTTATACCAAATTTCAGCTAAAACTTCAATCGGGAAGGCATTCAAATGAATTCTTGAAGATAACTGCGCAGTTAAAAGTGCAGTTATTTTCATGAATTCATTTGAATGTCTTTCCGATTGAAGTTTTAGCTGAAATTTGGTATGAGTAAACTAGACTTGATGAATAAGATGATCAAAAAAATTCATCAAAAAATTCCAGCTGGAACATCCCAAATGACGACGGCCGGACAGAACTTTCTAAATGATAACTTATTTGACCTTTTTTTTGTTAGTACGTAGCCTATTTATATACCCCACCCACACACCCAGTCATCCAATTCTTACCGGAGTGATCAGGGAAGCATACCGCGTTCACCTCTAATCGAGAACAATTTTGAAGTTAACAAATACTACCACACTGTAACTTTTTATCAATTCCGCTAGCAATTTAAATTTTATTTCAATTAAAACCTTTTAATTTTTGGATTCGTTTGATAAATTCAATCAGTAGTAATCGATATACCTGATTTGAATTCTTCTGCAGAGGTAAGAAATCTGAACAGGAAGATGTCTCTGGATTTGGTTCTGAAGCCATCATGCAGTGGCTGCGGATCGTCGTCGGAGCTGTACGGAAGCACTTGTAAGCACTTGACTCTCTGCGTGTCGTGTGGCAAAACCATGGCTCAGAACCACGGCACCTGCAACAAGTGCGGCACTCCAATCACACGCTTGATTCGGGTTCGCCTATATATGTGAATCTGATCACCTGCTTATATCGGCACATTCTGATTTAATTAAATGGAAGAAGTAATTTGATCACAATTCTTCAGATGTTATGACAGTTGTTTTGTTGTAATTTTGTGGGTTGGGCAGAACATTCAAAGAAACTAATTTTGAAGTATTGAAATCTGACTGTTAAAGAAGCCATGCTCGAGCCATCTAAAATTTTAAGTAGTTTTTCTAATAGCCAGTATGTTACTTTTGCATTCACTATGAAGAAATTGAAGAATACACACACATACACACACAGTTATAGTATCTTCCCCTTTTCTCATATTCATGTACTGAAACCTAATTAATGTACACGACTTATCTTCTTTGGATTCAGGTGCTATTTTCTCTCAATATTCACAAGCTGATTCTTGGCCTTGAATTGTTGTCTTAATAGGAATACAATGTTAGAGCATGCTCTACCAGTGAAAAGAATTACTTCATTGGGAGATTTGCTACAGGTTTGCCAAATTTTTCAAAGAAAAAGAATGAAAACAAGTGGTGTCTGCAGAAAGAAGGTTTGCAAGGACGCCAAGTAACTGATGCTCTGCGGGTAAGTCACGTTTTCTACTTAAATCACCTTTATTTTCTATTAGCTGCTAATAGTTGCATAGTTTCGCTCTTACTATTGTCTTGTTAACTAGGTCACACACATTATTTGAACACTCCGTATCTAAATGTCTTATATCATGTTGTTTGCCTCTACACTCAAGTTTAGTCTTACCTACTTAAGCTTGTTTTCTTTTTTGTGTATTACATGAAAAGAAAATACCAAGCCTGGTTTTGCACAGTGGACAGTTGTTAGACATAGTTTAATCAAAGTTCAGCCTTAATGACTCTGTTCTTAAACCAAACCGTTTCCAAAAATTTGGAGTAAAAATAAGCTTAAAGAGAATCACTTGGCCTGCAAAGACGAGTAATGTTGTTATTAATACTCCCTCCGTCCCAATATAAAAGACACACTTTCCTTTTCGGTCCGTCCCAATATAAAAGGCACATTTCCCTTTTTGGCAAACAAAACAGTGCCAAACAGTGCCAAACAGTGTCCAAACAGTGCCAAACAGTGTCAAACAGTGTTCAAACAGTGTTCACCCTTAAAAACTCCCCAAACGCAAATGCGCCTTTTATATTGGGACGGAGGGAGTATAAATTATGTTATTGATTGTTAATTTGTTCCTTACACAACTATCCAAGTGAGTTGATTTTGAAGCCGATGGAGATGATTTCGAGTTAATCAATGTAGGCATATGGTTGTACATATTATAAATATTTATATATTATGGTCCTTATAGGAGAGAGATTATAGGGTCAAGGGAAGAAGGCGGCAAAGAGGTGAAACATAGTTAAATTAAGTTATTAAAAAGGATGATACCAGTGCTCAAGGGTTTAAGATATGTTCAGAATATCCTCGAATAAATAAAAGCAATGGAATTCATGTAGGTGGTAGCTGTTTCGTGCATGTTAGCAAGTCATCGTTGAGATGGAGAGTACATGTAGCTATTTTCCGACATATTTTTTAAAGTACCTATTCACTTCTCATCGGCACTGGAAGCTGAACTTTGGTACTCAAACATTATTTATTCATTTAAGGATGAGGTTGGCAAATCCATGCCATCTAATAATCTTAATAGTTATGATAGCTCTAGATCAAAAGGCTTGATCATTTGCATGAAGTTTATGCAATAAAGTAAAAATGATTAATCATTACTTGTAATGTACTGAATATATTTAGCCACCAAGCAGAGCTGCAGAAGAGTTTCGCTCTTTTACAGCTATACTTTTGTGGTTGGCCAGTTGGATGTGAAAAGTCATTGCAGTATATCTAGAAGCACTTGGATAGTAAAGAACTAGATACCTTAAGCAATCATGTCGCTTCTTTCGACCATCAAGTATTTTAGCTCATCAGGGTTTGGTTGGTCAAGCTAATAGCGACCCTGTTTTAAGAAGTGCACATCTTTCAATTTTTCCCCTGTGATTGCAGGTTTTCACGGCCTGTATCTTTCATTCTAAACTTTATAGTTTTACCGTCAAGTGATTGCATGTTGCAGGAGAAGTTTAAGAATAGACCCTGGTTATTGGAGGATGAATCAGGTCAGTCTCAGTTCCATGGTCATCCTGAGGGTGCACAATCAGCAACCTACTACCTACTAATGTTGCAGGGTAGAGAATTTGTTGCCATTCCTGCTGGTTCCTGGTACCTAGTTAATCAATTAATGTTTGCTGTTATGCCATCAATTTCTTATTTTGTATAGATGGCTCTTATAACTAACTGACGTGTGCATATGTTTTATGTTACTATTATTATTACTACTATTACTATTATTATTACTATTACTAACTTGTTGATGATCTCAGGTACAACTTCAACAAAGTTGCACAGTACAAGCAGCTTACTTTGGAAGAAGCAGAAGAAAAGATGAATAACAGAAGGAAAACTGCTGATGGTTACCAAAGATGGATGATGAAAGCAGCAAGTAATGGACCTGCTGCCTTTGGAGAAGCTGGAAAATTTGATGACAAGGAAAGTGGAGCTGGTGGTGGGAGGGCAAGGAGAAAATCTGGTGATGATGAGGAGGGCAATGCGTCAGACCAAGGAGAAGAAGATGAAGAAGAGGAGGCAGCTAGGAAACGTAGATCAGGACTCAACAAAAAAGGGGGTGATGATGATGAAGAGGGACCCAGAGGTGGTGATCTTGATCTGGATGATGATGATATTGAAAAAGGTTGACATCTTGTTTGAGTTGTTTCTGTTAATTAAGTACTAGTACGGTTTTATTTAGATACACTCCAAGTCTCAGCTTGATAATTTCTAAAATTTATATGAAAAATAACCCCTGCCTTTTATATTCTCTAACATGTTAAAGCAGTGTATTATGAAAATGAAAAAAAACTACTTTCCAAACCTCCCAAACATACCCTAAGGTTTCTAAACTAGATCTTTACGTTCTATGATTTAACAGTTTCAAATGATATATTTGTCCATTTATCATCTTAGTTATTGTGCATCATAATAAATCTAGTATACTACCCTATATATTCCCTCCATTTATATGTCCCTCAATCTCATTGAACATGAGGTTATTTTGGATTTACTACTGTACATTCTTTGTGTATTTTTCCCTACACACTAATTTTTTAAGAACATTAAATTTATGCAATTGCTTAAAGTTTTTTATTCCTTTATTCATGAGGTTACTTTTTACCACTCCAAAGGGAACTTTGATTTGATTCTTAGCTTCATGGCATGAAGTCTTTATTTCTTTACATCCTTTCACAGGTGATGATTGGGAGCATGAAGAAATTTTCACAGATGATGATGAAGCTCCTGGAAATGATCCGGAGGAAAGGGAAGATTTGGCTCCTGAAATCCCCGTTCCTCCGGAAATTAAGCAGGTTTGTTGTGCAAATTTGACCTCGAGATTTTTATGATACTGAAGTTGATGAGAATTAACACCTTGTTTGGTTCAAAGGATGGGATGGGAGGAGAAATGGAGATATGGAGAGGGGTGGAAAGTGGATGAGCATGAAAAGGTGTTATGGTTGGTTAAATTGAAGAGTGGAGAGGAATAATTGTTTATAGAAAATGAATTCATATGATATGGTTTTTGTTGTAACTATATGATATCTATGTAAACATAATAATGATTTAGAACAACTTTGATGATAAGAAAGATGAAATGAAATTAACAAGAATGATCACTCCTCCAGAATACGCCAAATCAGGGGAGTACAAGCTTGAAGGAGTTCATACCCCCCCCCCCTGCTCCACTGAAACCCTCAACCAGAAAACAACACTACCCCACTTTCTTCCGCTTCTCTCTGAATTCCTCCAACTTGCTAAGGTCTAGAAGAGGGTGCTTATAAAGGTGTTACGTCTTTAAGCTTTAAGTTTTTAACAGTTCAATGTGCTTGGGCCTAGGCTGATGCATTTCATAAATAACTCTGATATGGAACACATAATATTGTTTTTCGTGAGAGCTTTGGTAATATATGATTTTTGCTTCATTGATTTTTTTTATTCATGCTAAAAGTTTATGAGCTGAAATTTTGAATCAGGAATTACAATACCATACCACCACTCTGTATCATGCTTTGACTTTGTTACTCCGTATTATTACTATATTTTGTAATCACGAATGCAAAAGAAGTCATGATCATGTTCTGCTATTTGTGGTGAAATTTTTATGGTGATGTTTATGCTTTAATGATACAAAATATATTGTAGTAACAATAATTAAAAAAATAGTGAACTGAATTATATCAGTTGACACTATAAGTTTCATTCCACTATAACTCTGATAATAAAAGGGCAGCCCAGTGCAAACAAGTGCTTTGTCTGTAATAATCATATACACAAAAGGGCAGCCCAGTGCACATTGGCGTTCCCGTAAGGGGAGGGTTTCGGAGAAGGGTCCCACCACAAGGGTGTACAAGGGTCAAGCCTTCCCTTCTCATTTTAACAAGAGGCCGCTCCCAAGACTTGAACCCGTAACTTTGATAATATAATAATCAAAAAATGAAAAATTAATTGTCCAAAGGAGGCAATACAAAATAACCAGGAATACATGAAAAGCAAAAATGATCAAATAACTACCAAAAGAATTAAGCAGCAGTCGAACGATTACATGTTTGCACACCAATTGTGGGTAGTTGTGACTTGTGATTGAATAATTAAAGGTGTGAGTTTTTACATGTAAACAACAGCTCTTCCATTGCTTAAATCCTTTTTTAATCTTTTAATTACAATATGCTTTGGAGACATAGGAATATCACCTTTATTCTTGTTTCAGGATGATGAGGATGAGGATGAAGCTGATGGGGAAGGAGGAGGGGGTTTGAGCGAATCAGGTAAAGAGTTGAAGAAAATTCTAGGAAAAGCTAATGGGATGAATGAATCAGATCCAGAGGATGATGATGACGATGATGAGGTAACCTTAGAGTTCATATATGTTACATTATATGCATTAATATATACTTATATATACATTGTAAATACATTGTAAACACATGTATATATATATACTGATAGGTACCTGGCAATAATCTGGCGATAATCTGAGTACTAACAGTAAATAAGCAAGAGTAGATCTGATAGAGTTGATAGGGAAGTAATGTTTATTATAGGAATAGGTAAACCGTAGGCAACAAGGGTAACCGGGACTTAGGCAACAAGGCAATCATTCAGATAAATCATAACCTAGCCTTTATTAGCTACCTCACCATACTATATATAGTAACTGTCCACGCAGGGACCACCTGGATAGATCAATCTCTATTTTACCCCCCTTAGCCCCTTATTTCTCCTTTGATAAACCTTATTAAAATACCGGATGGGCTGGTGGCCCAGATTCCTATCATTACTCCCCCCCTGAAAATTTACCTTGTCCCCAAGGTGAAGCTCAGGAAAATTATCTGTTAAAGGCTGCAGCAATTCCCATGAATCTTCGAATGCAGGCATGTTCTTCCAGTGAACTAGGACCTCTATCTTCCCCTCTTTGTTCATTCTGGAGTCTAACACTTCTTCTGGATATACCAGGAGCTCCCATTCTTCATTAAGGCAGGAGGGTAATGGCTGAAAGTGAGTAGTGGGGGATATAGCTTTCTTTAATAGTGATATGTGGAAGACTGGGTGCACCTTGCTGTCCTCAGGTAGTTTTAGTTTAAAAGCTACAGAGCTCAGCTTCTCAATCACCTCAAATGGGCCATAAAAACGAGGGCTTAATTTCTGGTTGAGTCTTCTGGCTAGACTCCTCATTTTATATGGCTGAATCTTCAAATATACCTTGTCCCCTACTTCCAATGACACCTCCCTCCTGTGCCTATCAGCTTGTTGTCGCATCTGGTTCTGGGCTTTTGCTAGATTGTCTTTCAATTCATGAAGCATCTCATTTCTCTGAGCTGTCAGTTGGGCCACCTCTTCTACTGCTGTCAAACTAGTGTCTCCCCTGATTATTGGAGGTGGGTCCTGTCCATACAAAGCTTTGTATGGTGTCATCTTTAATGAAGTATGGTAGTTGGTGTTGTACCAGAACTCTGCCCAGCTCAACCATTTAACCCACTGTTTTGGTTTCTTCCCTGTCAGACATCTGAGATAGGTTTCTAAGCACCTGTTTACCACCTCAGTTTGCCCGTCTGTCTGAGGGTGGTAAGCGGTGCTATATTTCAGTTGTGTTCCAGACAGCCTGAAAAGTTCAGACCAAAAATTGCTCATAAAAATGTTGTCTCTGTCACTTACTATTGACTTGGGGAACCCATGCAGCTTCACGACCTCCCTGGTGAATAGCTCAGCTATTTCTTTTGCATTAAAAGGATGGGATATGGCCAGAAAGTGAGCTGATTTGGTCAATCTATCCACAATTACCAGTATGGTATCTTTCCCTTGCGATTTAGGGAGGCCGCCAATGAAATCCCTGCTGATTTCAGACCAAACATTCTGGGGAATGGGCAGAGGTTGTAGTAAACCTGCTGGCTTTAAAGCCTGATATTTGTTGGTCTGACAAATGGCACATTCTTCCACATACTTTTTGATGTCCCCCCTCATCCCATGCCAATAGAATAGGTTAGTGATTCTCTTCATTGTCCTGAAATATCCTGAGTGACCTCCAAGAGCAGAATCATGATATTCATTTAGGACTTTTCTGACTCTAGGGGATGTGCTGGGTAATACTAACCTCCCCTTGTAGTATAAAAATCCCTTGATAATTTGAAATTCCTTGTATTGATCTGGTTTAGATATTACATTCTGCAGAAGGGCATGGCACTTGTGGTCTTCTTTCAGTTCTTGCTCCAGTCCTTCCCATTCTTGACAAGTGATAATGGATAGTGATTGTAGGTAAGGTCTCCTGGAGAGAGAATCTGCAGCTCTATTTTCCACCCCAGGTTTGTATTTGATAACAAAGTTGTACCCCATAAGCTTGGAAGTCCATTTTTGCTGCTCTTCGCCCAAAAGCCTTTGTTCAGTCAGGAATCTCAAACTCCTCTGATCAGTGTGGATCTCAAAAACTCTTCCTAACAGATAGGGCCTCCATTTTTGGACTGCCAAAACAATGGCCATCAGTTCCCTCTCATAAACTGACTTGTTTTGGTTCCTTTTTGATAATTCTTTGCTCATGTACGCAATTGGTTTCCCCTCTTGCATCAGTACAGCTCCCAGTCCAGTCCCGGAGGCATCAGTCTCTACTACGAACTTTTTATTGAAATCGGGTGTAGCCAATACAGGTAGTGTGGTCATCTTTCTCTTTAATTCCTCAAAAGCTAAAGTTGCAGAAGGCCCCCAATGGAAACAGTCTTTCTTAAGAAGTTGAGTCAAAGGTAAAGCAATGTGACTATACCCTTGCACAAATCTTCTATAATAACCAGTGATTCCCAAAAATCCCCTGAGCCCCTTCAGATCTTTGGGCTCTGGCCATTGCACCATTGCTTCTATCTTGGATGGATCTGCAGCAACCCCTTCGCCTGATATAATATGGCCCAAATAGCCTATCTGAGCTTTCCCAAATGAACATTTTTTTGGATTTATCACCAGCTGGTTATCTTGCAGAGTCTGGAGTACCTTCCTTAAATGTTCTTGATGTGCTGCTTCTGATTTGCTGTAAATGAGGATGTCATCAAAGAACACCAAGGCAAATTTTCTCAAATAAGGTCTCAAAACCTGGTTCATCAAAGCCTGGAATGTAGACGGTGCGTTTGTAAGGCCAAAAGGCATAACCAGGTACTCATAGTGTCCTTCATGAGTTCGGAATGCGGTTTTCTGCATGTCTTCTTTTCTCATTCTAATCTGGTGATAACCAGATTTTAGGTCCAACTTGGAAAATATCACTGCTCCTCCCAGTTCATCCAAAAGCTCTTCAATTATGGGTATGGGAAACTTGTCAGGTACTGTGATTTTATTCAGAGCCCTGTAATCACCACAAAGTCTCCAACCCCCATCTTTTTTTCTTGCTAATAGAATAGGGCTGCTGTAAGGGCTATTGCTGGGTTGTATGATACCTTCATTTAGCATGTCTTTGATGATTCTCTCAATCTCTGTCTTCTGATATTGAGGATACCTGTATGGTCGGATATTAGGGATGTTGGCTCCCTCCTGAATATGTATAGCATGATCACAACTTCTTCTGGGTGGCAGTCCCTTAAAAGGTTTGGAAACTTCAGGAAATTCAGCTATAATTTGTTGCCAGATTTGATCTTCTCCACTTTCTTCTTCAATTTCCTCAGCCTGCCCTTCACAGTAAACCAAATATCCATCTCCTGCATCTTCTAATATCTGAACCAAGGTTTTCAAAGAGACTTCAGAAGAGTTTAATTGTGGATCCCCCTGTATCTGCTGCATGTCTCCCAGTTCCCTCCATTTTATGGTTTGCTTTTGGAAATTGACCTCCACATCACCTAAAGTGGTCAACCATTCCATTCCCAACACCATGTCAGTGCCCCCTAGCTCCAGGATGTAGAAATCCTGCTGAATCTTGGTGTCCTGCATGCTTAGTTCCAGATTTTCACACCTTCTATTATTTAAAAGCTTGTCCCCATTCCCAATTTGCACCCTATACCCAGAGATAGTATTGTAGGGTATCTTCCAATGGTCCACCACTCTTTGGGCTATGAAGTTGTGGGTAGCCCCACTATCAATCAACACCTCCAATGAGACCTCTCCCCATGCTCCTTTTATAACACCCCTGACCTTGAAAGCCCTCATAGAAGGGATCCCCTCCTTGCTCATTAACGAAAGCTGCATAGATTTAGCTTCCATCACTATTTCCTCTTCCTCTGAATTGTCCCTTTCTGCCTCTTCTAATCTCTCTTCTTCATCCGAGTCTTCTACCAATATCAGTTTGTAGTTTTTTAGTTTGCAGGTGTGTTCCTTGCTCCATCTTTCCCCACACTTGAAACACAATCCTCTTCTACTCCTATCTTGGTATTCATCTTGAGAGAGTTGGGGTCCCACCCGCTTTATACTGGAAGTATTGATCTCATTAGTCTTCTTCCCCATGGGATTGAACCAGGCTGGATTAGTCCGGGAGTCTGCCATGTTCCTGCTATTAGCCTGGGATCCAGAATTTCCAAATTTTGCCTTATAACCCTCTCCCCAAGATGGCTGTCTGTAAGGCAGGTGCCCTTTGTCCTTCCCATCTGTTTTCTCTGCCCTTTTTCCTTTGTCATAAACTGCATCATTTCTCTGTTCAATCAACACTGCCCTATCCATGACAGCAGCCAGAGATCTGGTATGGTAAAGCTTCAATTCAGCTTTAATTTCCGCCTTGAGACCATTGATAAATATGCCTCGTAGCATCCCTCGGTCCATGTTTTTCTGTGGGGCGATTACCATCTCAAACTCATCCCTATAGTCTTCCACAGTTCCAGTTTGTTTCAGGCTCAACATGGGTCCATAGGGGTTTTGTAATAAGTCAGGTTGGAACCTCCGGATAACAGCGTCCTTCAGGTTTTCCCAGGTCATCTCCTCTGCCTGTTGTTCCCACCACTGAAACCAATTCAAGGCCCTATCATCCATAGCCACCATTGAAACCTCCACCTTGTCTTCCTCCTCTGTTTTATTCAATCTAAAATAACGCTCCATTCTTACTAACCAGTTATAGGCACCAACTCCATTAAACAATGGCAAATCCACCTTCCGGCCAGTATGAACTCTACGAGTGGGAGCTGGGGAATGAACGGAATTACCTCTGGATTGTGGAGGGCTGTGCGGTGACCTAGATCGGTAGAGGTGGGGTGATCGCGATCTTCCCCTATGCTGATCGCGAAGATTTTGGATCTGCTCAGACATCGCAGCCATCGAAGCCGCGAGATTGCTCTGGAACTGTTCATTCATCGAAGCCATAGAGGCTGTGAGAGTAGCCACAACGTTCTTCATCTCTTGTTCCAACGAATCCACTCGATGTTCCATTCTAGATCTGGTTTTGACCATCCACCTCTAGACGACAGCTTGGTTGAAGACGATCTCCAGGTCCGATCTCCAGGAACGGTGATGCTCTGATACCAAATGATAGGTACCTGGCAATAATCTGGCGATAATCTGAGTACTAACAGTAAATAAGCAAGAGTAGATCTGATAGAGTTGATAGGGAAGTAATGTTTATTATAGGAATAGGTAAACCGTAGGCAACAAGGGTAACCGGGACTTAGGCAACAAGGCAATCATTCAGATAAATCATAACCTAGCCTTTATTAGCTACCTCACCATACTATATATAGTAACTGTCCACGCAGGGACCACCTGGATAGATCAATCTCTATTTTACCCCCCTTAGCCCCTTATTTCTCCTTTGATAAACCTTATTAAAATACCGGATGGGCTGGTGGCCCAGATTCCTATCATATACACCCACCCACATGTACATGCAAAAGTATAGGGACGTGCACGCGCGCACACACATCTCATTTTTATAATTGCAGTGTATTCTTCCACTTGAAAGTTCTCACTTCCTTTCTTTGTCTCTTCCTCCCTGGGCGGGAAATGATTATTATAGGAAGATGATTTCTCATCACCTGTATTGGCTCCAAAGCTGAAAGTAACTCCAAAAGAGGATCAAGCTGAGACCAGCAGTCCAGGGAAGCCACATGGTTCGAGTTCCACTCGAGCAGGCTCATCAGCTTTGAAGTCAACGAAGGGTAAAAGAAAAGCCAGTGTGGATGAACCAAAATCTGCAAATGTTGCTGCTTCAAAAAAAGCGAAAACAGAAACGGTATGCCTTGACATTAAGGTGTTGGATGCCTAATAACTTAGGTTATGCACTTATGCTCACTAAGTTTTTTGCTTTTTTTTCTTTTTCTTTTTTTTTTAAATGAAATTTTATTAGGAAAACCAGAAAAAGTAATTCTGGTTGTTTTGTTGGCAATTTCCAAAATTAGCACAATTATTAACAGTATGATTACCTTTGTTCATTATACAACCTATATTATACATGTTGGAGCTCTTAATTTTATTGTTTAAAGAGGTCAGTTTCACCTAAATAAACAAAAAGGATCCTTAAAAATACGAGGCTAACCTTACACTCCTATGAACCCTTCATCCCAATCCCAGCCCCATTGCGCAATAAACTTATATGTCAGGCTCACATCTACTAGACAACTGATCCCAGCCTTGTTGGACAACTGAAGGGGTTACCATGAAGTATGAACTTTTATTATTCAATACCAAGTTCCCTTCAATTACATAATGCTTCCTATTTAAAGGGATTGCGTTAATAATTCTAAATCAATCAAAAAAATGCAAAGCATAAAGATATCTGTAAATAATTTTACCAAACTAACAACTCTTTGATAGCAAAGAATCCAAAGATAAATTAATAGAAATGAAATCTGTCATTGCTATGTCGTTTTTCTATGTGGGTGTGGGGTACTCAGCTATGGACAACATGTGTTCATTATTTTAGTCGGTTGATCCCCTTTATATTTTGAGTTCCAGGAAGTGAAGCCAGTGAAAGAAGAAGCTATTCCACCTGCTGCTAATAACAGTAGCATCCCCAACAGTTTGACATCATCATCATCTTTGACCCCACAGCCACCTGCAAGAACCGCTCCAACACCAGTGACTGAAGATGAAATTAGAGCTGTTTTGCTGCAGCAAAGGCCAGTTACCACTCAGGATCTTGTCAACCAATTTAAATCTCGACTGAAAACAAAAGAGGTTTGTCATTTTGTGCTCTTATCTATTAAAACACAACATCTATCTGGACCACAGTTCTAAAAAAGAATAGTCTGTATGCCGTAGTCTAGCTCACTAGGCAAGGATTTGTAGAAATAGCTAGTACCTGAATCGGTCCATTGATCATACATTATTACTCATTTTGGCAGTGCAATTTTTTTTGGACTCGACTAAGCAATTTGACTCAATTTACTTCTCACTCATACAAAAAAAACAGCATTACTTGATTACCCCAGTGCCACAAAGGCTCTCACCAACGGTGGGGTAAGGGGGTCGGATGTACGTAGCCTTACCCCTGTACTAAAGCACGGATACTGTTTCTGGATGACCATGATGAAAGTCGCTCGAAAATTGCACGGACTGCTGCTTCCCAGTCTTACTTCTCACTCATACTTCACTGAAATTAGGAAGGGAAATTTAGTACAAAGGTCTAAATTGGAGGATCTGGTTTGCATAGTTCAGTTCCAAACTGAGTAGAAAGTTGGGATTAAAATTGTTGAACAAACTAAAATAATCCTTTTATGTAGAACCAAATATGAAACAATGTACGAGGACTAAACAGGATATAAATGTCATAGTCAAGGACCTTCAACAAAAAGTTGATACTTGATGAGCCCAACAGAGGCACCTATGATTGTTATTTGATACTGTAAGCTTTATGCCTTTTGTAAATTGGATTTTGTGACATTGATGAATCAGGACAAGAACACTTTCGCAGCTGTATTGAGGAGAATCTCCAGGATACAGAAGACCGAAACTGCTAATTATGTAGTCTTGCGAGAGAGGTGATTTTTTGTTTTGTTTTAAAGGTTTGCATTGAATTGCAGAACCAAAGGGCTATTTATTGGTTATTTTACATTTCTCCTTCTGACAGGACTAACCAGTAAGGCCAGAGTTGTGGTTTTCACTTGATGAGTTCTCCAACCTCAACTGATGATATTAGCGCAAGATGCAAGAGGGTCAAGCATGAAGTACTCTTTGTTTTTTGTAAAAAAAAAACATTATGGAGAGTAAAGAAATGGACAAAGAAGGAATTAACTTTGACTTTATACATGCATTGCATTTTTTTAAATTTCAGTTGGTTATTGCAACTTTAAATCTCAACATACAGAATGAATGTTGCTTTGTTATCAACTTTTTGATTGCAGGAAAATAAGTTGTCTCAAATGATTTCAATAGTTGATGTATACATATTACCCTAAAAAATTTAGAAATAAATCTGGTTCACGAAAATGGCTCCCTGTTCTGAATACAAGAAGCCATATTCCACAATTGCGTAAAATATAGGGGTGGGCATAACGGTTTGGTTTAACCGAACCGTACCAAACCGAACTAAACCATACCGAAACCGGACCGTATGCAATTTGGTTTGAGTTTGGTACTATTTCTTTCAAAGCGTATTAAACCGAACCGAAACTGATAAAAACCGAACAAAACCGAATCGAACTCAAGAAACCCAAAAAAAACTTTCATATATTATTAAAATTGGTGGTTTGATTTGGTTTGGTTTGGGTATACTTAAGTAAACCGTTTGGTAAACATTTGCTCAAACCGAATGGTTTGGTGCTTTGGTTTTGTTTGGTTTAAAACGGAAAAGACCGTAAACCGAACACCGAACAACATATATATACTTTGTATTTATCTTCACTCTTCATTTTTAAGATATAAATAAATAATTTAGACATGAAAATACATATTTAAGCATATACTCGTATCATTATAAATTTTACACATTTCATACATTCATTATGACAAAGTTAGCTGATACGACATATTTGTATTTATTATGTTTGGCGATAACAATAGCAAATTGCATTTATTTTTTTACTTGCTTCATTTGAATAAAATTGTGAATATTACAACATTTGTACCACCGACTCTTTTAGGTTTTTTTGAATATTTTATGTGATATTATAAATGCTAAACAATGATTTATTTTTCTATCGTTTATTTCTTTTTACATTTTATTTAAATAATCAATAAATTAAAAAAAGATGAGATGGACTACTACTTTCATTTTCTAATTTTAAAATATAGAACTTGATTAAATAAAATAATAAACATAATCAAACGAATCAAATCAAACTAAATTAAACATAATATTTTTTTACTTTGGTAAACCGAACTTCAAATCGAACCAAACCGAAACACAAATGTTTTTAATTTGGTACAAATTCTCCCAACTCGAATAAACCGAAACCGAACCGAAACCGAAGAAAACCGAACCGTAAACCGAATTGCCCACCCCTAGTGTAAATAATCAGTGAAAAAGTTTTTTCTAATGGGAAAATATTTCCTGCTCTGAATGTTGGTCATTATTCCTCAGATTTTACTATGCTATGTGATAGATAAATCATTCCGTTTCAAAATGAACTTTTGTTCGCGACACTGGCTTTAGTGAATTGCGGAATTGGTACAGTAAGTCAATAATAAGATACTATAAAAGCGCCAGTTACAGACAATCAATGTACATGCTCCAAGAAGGCTTACCAGTAAGAATAAAAGGATCATTACACGACACGGTGCATTGGCATAACCAACTGCCACTATCGGAAACAAGTAAAAGAATCAAATCGTTCATTATTTTTAATGAGGTAATAATTTTAAAATTGTTGAGATGAACACCTTGAAATTGTTACTCTGAAATCTTAGATATAAACTTGCTAGAACCATATGGCAAGAAGAAAAAGACCAATGAGCAAACTCGGCAAGAGCCCATTCAAACGTGTTGATGAAGATGGTGCAGCCGGGCCGTCTGCGTGGAGGAGCAATGGAGAACTATTTGCATCGTCTCTTTGACTGTGTCTCTTCTCTCGAGATCGGACTGTGACCGGTAACTTGAGGCCATTTTTACAGCTCTCCAATTTCCCACTCGTGAAGTATCGAGTTCCCTCTCCCTCCAGAGCGATTTGATCTAAGCCGTCTGTATACAATCTGATGGGGTTACTCAGATCGCATGAAATGTACTCCTCTAAACTTCCCAACTCGACGATACTCTCTTCTGCTGCAGAGTATGTAAACCCTGTTCAACAGTCACACAATTAACTGCTAAGTCCATACTTTGAAAGAACACAATCTAAGCTTTAATGAAAGATAGACTAATTTATATTCGGGTGGAGGAGAGTAAACACTCACACACAAAGTCACCAACAGTGAAGGTTCTGCCAGATGACCAAGAAGCAATGTCATTTGACACTTCCCATCCTCTGTCCCCTCCCACCACATGATGCTCATCTGCTTGCGCCCCTCTCCACCCCGCTCCTCCGGCAACCACCACTGCTGTTGCAAGAACCACCGTCATCGTGACACTCCACACCACCTTCCTCATCTATCTATCTATCTTGTTTGCTCGCGCGATATTTAAGTAACTCACGGATCAGTCAGCTTGCAATTAACTGACTAAAGCAATTCAAACTTCTCTTTTCCTTAATTGTGTGTGTCTTGGGGGAGGAGGGGTAGAGACCAGAGAGTGCTTGGGAGTTAAGGAAGGTACCAAATAATTAGATGTATACTTTTTTTATGGTTATGAGGCAATTCCACTCCCAGGCCAGGTGGGCCAAGTCCTAACCGCAGCACTTCTTTAGTGCATAAGTACGTACGTAACTTGTCAACACTCAAAGTGTGTTTGTTTGGATTTTATATGATAGTTTGGTAAAGTTTCATTTTCTCATGCTATGTGAGTGTGTGTATTATAAATTATAATTAAGCTAGTTTGGTTAAAGCGTTTTTTATTTCAATATTCTAATTCGTATAGTATGCTGAAAGTTCTTTGGATATTAACCATGTAATTTACCTTTGAGATGTAATTTCCCTTTTAAATGCAAGAGTATGCTTTCTCCCTAGTTCTTCATGAAGTGAGTATTTTTTACTCCATCATTTTAGGTGTTTGGACCTATGATTAAATAAAAATGGAAGTGTATAATAAGTACGGAAAAACTGTTTGTACACATAATTCGTACACATTTTGTGTACACACGTCTAGTTGCATGTGTATACAGGTAGCTCGTTCAGAATCTGCATGTGTACACAGGTAACTGGACGTGTGTACAAACTCCCGAGAACCTAAAAACACCTTAAATTGAAGAACTTTCAAAGTGGGGAATTTTGGAGGTTATGTTCTCGTTCAACATCAAATAAGCTAGAGTACTTTCATCTAAACAACATTTATTACATTAACCTAAGTTCATGGGCAGAGGTAGCTTGATTGTCAGGGGCCATGGGCCCTCCCAACTATTTTTTGTAGTTAGTAATCTTAAATACTTTTTTATTGCCCCCAACATTTACCAATGTTTTTTAAAAACTATTACTAGTCACTACTCTCTCAATCCGATTTAAATGTTTACACTTTCTTTTTTGGAACATTTCATTTACTCCTTTACGCTTTCCTTTTTGGCAACTTACTTTACTTGATTTGCCATAACTACCTTTCACTATCCTACATTCCTACCCACCCACATTTTATAATTCATAATTTTCATTGGACAACGTTGATGCACCCACTATCGGTTGATGCACCCACTATCGCAGCACTTACTTACAGACCTATAGCTACGGCCAATATATACCGTACAATACCTAGAGCATGATAGTTTTTTTTGTAATTAAAGGAGTGTTTGCAATTGATTAAAAAGCACTTTTCAACTTTTGGTTTAAAAAAAGTTAAAAAGAGTGTTTTCAAATGACAGCTTCTGCTTAAATTAATCATTTAAAAGCTAAAAGTTGGAAGCAGATGGAAGGGTGCTTTAAACTGCTTTTCACTTTTTCTATTACACAAAAAGTACTTATTTTACCAAACACTACCAACTTTTACTTTTTAAGAATCACTTTTTTCTCAAACACTATCAACTTTTACCATTAATCACTTTTCCCCAAATCACTTTAAAAAATCACTTTTTTAAAGTTGAAGCAATTGCAAACACTCCCAACTTAGGATAAAGGTTAGGCTGAAGGCTTCTGCTGTTTTTCTTTTTCCGCCGCCAGTCCGCCACTCTTCCTTTCTTTTCCATCTGTTTTCCGTTTTTTTGGCCGCTACTTGGCTTTACTGAGTTACTCCACTTTCTTGTTTTTCTTGTTTTCTCTTTACTTTCCACGCTTTTCAGTTTCTTGCTTTTTACTTTTTTTTTTGTTAATGTTTGAGTTTGTTTTTTCTTCTTTTTCCAATCAATCTTCTAATTTAGTTTTTTTTATTTATTTCTGCATTATATGTATGCTCATTTGATACTGATATGATGCTCATATCAAAATGTCATATCAATCATATTTCAAAAGTAGCATATTACATTAGATTCAAGTAGGATTTAATTACATATATGCAATGTTCTAAAAGGCCTTAAAAGGCGCCGCTAACGCGGACCTAAGCGTAAGGTGCCCGTTGCACGCCTCACTTACCCATTACGCGTGGGAAAAGGCGGCAGACGAGATCAGCCGTATATTCTGGGCCGCCATCCACCTAAAATTTAACTAAAAGCCCATAAGAGTTTCGTGAACTCTCTTAAGTTGTTATCAAGAGGATGGGAGAAGGCCACTTTATACAGAAAAGCTAATGAGGAATTCAACTCCCCATCCGGTGTGGGAAAGTTGAATGAGATACGAAGGAACAAAAGTTCAAAACACATGCCCCGCACCCAACAAATTTTGAAAATTAATGACTTTGTATAAATTCAGCAAACCAACAAGACCATTTGCTATTATTCTATTACTTGAACTTTTCTTGATAATATACGAATGTCCAAAAAGTAAAACTAATGATACGAAGTAATAAAAATGATAATAGTAGTAATACTAATAAGATCATTATTATTAGTGTTTTTTTAAAGATTATTATAATTAGCGTTAGTGTTAGTGACCATTATTAGTATTAGTGTCACTATTAGTACTAGTATTATTATTACTATTATCAATAGAAACAATTACAAATGTATTACTAAAATAAAGATTGTATACAATAATGTGACTCGTGACTAATATAAAATAATAACAAAGTCATAGTAACTTATATTCAAATTTAAACTTAAGTTTCCATGGCATTACATTCTAATAACTATTAGTTATATTTGTGTAAATGAGTTTTAATTCAGTAATCTTATTGAAACAAATCGTTAAAATTATCATTAGAACTAGATTACTGGCACTAATGTCAATATCAATATTTGTATTAATATTTTATGATTGTTTATTCTTATCATATTACCATTCAACTAAGTTTTTAAATGCTAGCTTTTATGTAGCGCGTAAATTTATAATTCTCTTATTTAGGACTCTGGAAAAATTCTTTCGTTGGAAGTTAGAAAAATATGATGTTCTTATATTATACGGAGTATGATACCTTGTCCCGGTAGAATTGTCTTATCTTTTTTTGGTCCATTTCATTAAGAGTCTTTCATATTAAATTTGGTACATTTGTGTAGTTCTAAATCGACGTTCTTACATTATCCTCACTTTTTCACATTAGTGTCAATGACATAAGCCTATTTTTCTTGATAATCGCACCACCTCCTCTTATACAAATATTAGAGAGACGGAAGTAGTATTGTTTTATAATTTTACATACTTGAAAATAGCTCTAGAAAAGTAAAAATCGACGATAAAAACTCAAAACGCCTTTTCACGCCTAATCGTCGCCTAAGCCCGCCTAGGCTTCAAAGGCTTAAGGCTTGACCTGGCCGCCTTGACACGCCTTACGCCTTTTAGAACACTGCATATATGAGAGCACATACTATGATATTCAATTGCATGTTTTTAATACTCAGCAGAGGAGATTTGATACTCAATAAAACGTCTTGATGCTCAACTAAAAAACATATGATTTTCCTACTAATGCTCATTTTATATTTACGAATGCTCAATCGGTACTCAATTGCACACTTTTAATATTCAGTAGGGGAGATTTAATGCTCGATGAAAAATGTCTTGATGCTCAACTAAATGAACTAACAAAGCTTATTATTTTCATGTTAATGCTTATTTTGTAAGCTACATATGCTCAATCAATACTGGTGTTATACTCATTTTTAAAATGTCATATCAATGTATATTTCAAAAGTATCGTAGTGCATTAGATTCACATATTGAACTTCATATAAATTGATTGTATATATAATTTAATACGTTTCATTAAAAGAAAAATATAAAAAGAAGGTGAATTAGAAGATATGAAGCAGAGATTGTGATGTTCAATATTAGACTCCTAATACTCAACAGAATTGGTCTAGTGCTAATCAAAAGTTCATTAATGCTCATTTAACAGAAAGCATTATTTTCATCTCAATAAGAAAGTTTGATGCTCAATGAAAATGTCGTGACGTCCAACTAACAAAGTTGAGTATGTTCATTTGATACTGATACTATGCTCATTTTTAAAATGACATATTAATGCATATATCAAAAGTGCCATATTGCATTAAATTTGCATATTGAAGTTTAATTTATAGAAGTTCATTATAGATGTATCTTAATAAGTTTTTATAAAAGAAAAAATAAGAAAAAGAAAGTGAATTACAAGATATGAAGAAGAAATCACGATGCTCATTGTTAGACTCTTAATACTCAGTAGAATACATCAGATGCTCATGAAAAGTGTACTAATGGTCATCTAACAAAAACAATGATTTTCATTGAAATTACGAAAATGCCATCGTTTTTTAGTTGTGATATCAACTTTTTTAATAACATGATACTCATTATTAGACTCTCAATACTCAATAAAATTGGATAATCACTCATTAACAATACAACACAACAATACTCATTGGGGGTTGCTTCACGCACCCCCTAATTTGCTTAGAAAGAATGGCATGGATATTACTCCTCAACTTTCATTAGACAAAATTATGACCTTATTTTAAATTGACAGGAAAGTTACCCGTGCTTCTCTCTTCCGTGCAAACAGCCCCACTCCATTTCTCTCTTCTGTCTTACGGCACCGAACAACTCAAACATACAATAATGGAGACACTAAATTAAAACAAGAACGATGGAGCTCCCATGGCTTTGGTGAATTTCTTCCTTCCCTTTGCGTGTGAATTTGTATTTTCTCTGGAATGGCTAGATTGGCTAATGGCTACCAAAACTGATGATAAACTTCCATAGCCTCAGGCCCTCAGTACCTTCGTCCTGCGATGGAGTGGACCAAACTGTGACAGTGGTAGAGAAGCTAGGAGCTCCGCCTTCTTCGTTTCTACGCCGCCTAGGGTTTCGAATTGCAGACCAAATAGTTTCTCCTTCTCCCAATTTCTCCTTCTCCCAATTCCGGCGGGTAACTAATTCAACAAATCAGATCTGGAGGGCGGCGGCTCCGATGGCTTGGGCTACCATTGGGGTTACAGGGGCTGGTGTGGGTGGGTGTGCATCGACGGGTGGACTGGCAGTGATAAACCGGTGGGGGCTGGTTGGTAATGATGGGTCTGATGGGTAGGGGCGGGACAGGGGCGGCAATGTCCAAGGCATGGGCGGCGGCGGAACGGCGATTGCGGCGGCCGGAGTGTATGCCTCTGCGGCAGTCGGAGTGCGTGCGATTGTGGCGGCCGAAGTAGTGGTGTTGCTAGGATGGGAGATGAGTTGCTGCTTTGAATCTAAATGTGACTGTAGCTGCACCTCACACGGTTGGGACTGCTGATAGGATGGCCGCGGTGTCGTTTGCGGCGGTGGGTGGTGGTGTCACTAAAGAATTGTCACTATGACGGTGTCACTATGACAGTGACAGCAGTGACACGAGCGGTGGCTACAGGGACACATGAGGTGGCTACAGTGACACGGACGACGACTACAGTGACACGGGCGGCTGCTACAGTGACACGGGCGGTGGCTACAGTGACACGGGTGGCGGCTACAGTGACACGGGTGGTGGGAACAGTGACCCGACCGACGGTGGCGACAAGAAATCATAACTTGTTGCAATAAGAGATGGTTTTACTGGAGCGATAATAATTGAGACGAAGTCACTAGAGCGATAATAACTGAGACGATGTCACTAGAGCGATAGTAATTGAAATTGGACGGGTCATGTTATTGTAACTGAAAGAGTTATATAATTGTAAATGGTCGGGTAACTATAACTAGAGCGATAGTAATTGGAACGGTGGTCACTGGAGTGGTAGTAACTGGGACAAATTAAAAAAAATGGTGAAATAATTTTAAGATTTAAGACTTTATATTTCCATATCCAAGTATTTATTTTTAGAAATAATATTAAAATTAAAAGAACCATTAACTTTTAGAGTTCGTAATGCTTGCCAGGTGCACTGGTAGGCATCGTACCGTATAGTTAACAACTTACTGAATGCAACGTAGACTTATGAGGGTAATGTGGAAAGCTAAATGTTAATTAGTCATATTTTTGATAAATATAAGAAAAGGTCACTTTTTGAGAAACCATCTCTTTTTTAGTAATATTGGGGTCAAAACCCCATTTGCTTAATCTAACTTTTATGGACACATTGATCCTTTATCTTGTTTTTTAGGATGTTTTCTTTTGGACTGAAATTTGCTGGTCTGGTCTGGTCTGGTCTGGTCTGTTTAAGTCTGGTCTGGTCTGGTCTGTTTAAGTCTGGTCTGGTCTGGTCTGGTCTGGTCTGGTAAACGTCTGGTCTCTGTGTATTTTATAACTACGGAAGTCTGGTCTGGTCTGGTCTGTTTAAGTCTGGTCTGGTCTGGTCTGGTCTGTTTAAGTCTGGTCTGGTCTGGTCTGGTCTGTTTAAGTCTGGTCTGGTCTGGTCTGGGACTGAAAACAGTCCAAAAGAAAACATCCTTACTCCGTAGTAAACATCAAAACATTGCTGCTTGATCTATAACGTGCAAGAAAGCCTAAAAATAATATTTTGTTTTTAATTGTGTATGACACGTACTCAAGCTACACACATCTTTTATGGCCTAATATTTCTAAAATTCAGTCTTTTTAATTTTTTTTTTCAAATATTTTAATGTATGGGATATTATCTGGATTTCATCGAGCTTAAAAATCAATGAAACTTCTAAAAATTATTAATTTATTTTGAAAATTAAACTGTATTTTGTGTAATTGCTTTTTATTAATCATAAATATATTATAGAAGTGTTCAAAAGAATTTTCGATTTTTTTCTTGAGATTAAGAGGACAAAAAATATTACTCCCTCCGTCCCTTAAAGGTTTGCCAAATTTGACCGGCAAGTAAAATAATAAAGTAAAAACTGTGTGGTATGGATATGTGCAGAGGAGAGAAATAACAGTAGCCACAAATTAATTGATTAGAAGGGAAAGCGACAAAGCTTTTGGGACAACCAAAACAGAAAAGTTGGCAAAGTTAACACTGAAGTTGGTTGAATATGTTGAATATGAAAAATTATATTTAGTTTAAAATAAAGAAATAATTATATGAAAAATAGTTGAAATGGTACTTTACAATAACTTCAACCAATTCAGTCAGAAAAGTAACTTTGGCCTTACTTATTTTGAATTTAAAAGTTACATGTTTGATAAAATGTTGGTTGATAATGCCGATAAGCTGAAAATGGGGTTACCAAACAGGCTCTAAATAATGTGAAACACTCAAAACATTTAGGTCAGTTTTAGTCTGAGGTGTGGTTTGATCTAGTCCAACGTAGAACACCATTTGGTAACACTGAAATTGAGTGAATTGCCTGAATCTATTGAAATTGATGAAATTATGGTTGAAGCGGCTAAACATGCTGAATTATAACTAAATATCTAATAAAATAAAGAAAAAATTATATGAAAAATAGCTAAAATGATCATCCACAATAACTTCAGCCAATTCAGACACAAAAGTTACTCCAACCTTATTTATTCTTATTATTACACGTTTCAGCGCGTAAAAAAACAATGTGGTTGATAAAAGTTGACTGATAAGACTGATTAGTAAAAAATGAGCGTTACCAAACGGGCTCTATTTAACACATGTGTGATTTACTATTATTGTAATCGAATATTGTGTTGTCTCATTGGTCTCATATTGAAATAAGTCAAAGTGGAAATATATACACACAAGTTTAAACATGGGAAAAAAATTAGTTATGGGCTATTTTTATTTACGATAGTACTTTTAGTATTGAAAAACATGGAAAAACACAAATCTATATTAATGTAACAGTAAAACGAAGGTACAATTCTCCAAAAAATCTTAGCAATACGTGTTATTGTGTATTTGTGTTAGCTAGAGTGGCTCATAAGAATTAAGAAAAGAAAAAAAGAAAAATATGATTTAGAGCATTAGGTACAAAGTGGTGTTATTGGAGAAATACGAAGTGTGTATTATTGAGATCGAAGTCTCTGTGTTTACAAAGGCAAAGTGCCGAGATATGTACAACCAGGATTCTTAATTTATCTCCAATAAAGTAGCTAAACCTTTAATAGAATTATACACTTGCTAAACATACAAAGCGACGGTTGGTATACAAGGATAGTAGAATAAATATATTTATATAAAATATCTCAATACCCCCCTCAAGTTGGAGCATGGAGGTCACAAATGCCCAACTTGCCAAGTATGGAACGAAAAGAGCGAGGGCCAAGAGCTTTAGTGAGTATATCAGCTAGCTGCAAAGAAGTGGGAGTATAGGCAGGAGCAATCGTGTGGCGAAGAATCTCGTCGCGAATAAAGTGACAGTCTATTTCAATATGCTTCGTGCATTCGTGGAACACAGGATTATTAGCAATGTGAAGTGCAGCCTGACTATCACAATATAAGGAGACAGGAGATGAATGTAAAACCCATAAGCTTCGTAAAAGCCCTTTTAGTCAGATAATCTCACTAGTAGCGGAAGCCATGGCACGATATTCAGATCGAAGTCTCTGTGTTTACAAAGGCAAAGTGCCGAGATATGTACAACCAGGATTCCTAATTTATCTCCAATAAAGTAGCTAAACCTTTAATAGAATTATACACTTGCTAACGTGCCTTCTCCGCGCACCAACAAATGTGCTAGGCGCACCCACTTTTCTCAAGGAATGGACGAATGTGTCCTATGAAGGCATGAAGCACTCTGTACTTTACTACTCTGTAAACATTAGTTACTCCAGAGTCCAGACTCATTTACCTGGTCATGCCGCATTATTCTTTTTTTACTTAATAATAATCTTTTTTCTACTTTGTTTCTTTCTTTCTAATTATATAGTGACTTTTATATTAAAATCAATAAGGATGTTTTTACTCGTCTGGTCTGGTCTGATCTAATCTGGTCTGATTTCTTTGTATTTTTGTAACTACCGAAGTCTGGTCTGATCTGATCTGGTCTGGGATAAATTATAGTCCAAGTAAAAACATCCTTATACATACCAGACAACTTTTGGATAAATTTTACAGATTCAATCGTGCTTCAGCGCCTTATTGATAGGGGCGGCGGAAAATCGGCCAAATTACGAAATTGGTAAAAAAAGAGGGTCATCTCACAGATTGGTAAAATAACCACTTGAGACATATTGCTGAAAAAAGAAGCTCTAGTGACAAATTGGTCAATTTTTTGTGAGTGACAAAACTTTCGATCCCTGACTTTATAATTTCAGACATTATATATTTTAAATATTGTGAAATTGACATTTGCAGTCCTTTTACTTTGATTTTGTCATCACAGTGGAGGTCTAAAAATGTCAATGATCATGTTTCATAATATTTGTTGTCTGCTAGCTCATAGCCGATTGAATCAACAAATAGATATTAGCGAATTCTATTAAACTTTTTAACTAACCACTTTCATTAGCGGTTTGAAATAAAATGTTAGTAACTTAAAATTTGCAATTAGATATTCATATATAAAATGACCATTCAAAAATAAATTTAAAAGTTAAAATGTTTAAATTAATTTTATTTCTTTTTATTTTTAATAAGTTTTGGAAAGAAATTGATAATTATTTGGATTGAGAACCGTGAAAGATGGCAATTTAATTATAGTCTATGGCCTAATGAAGGTTTGAACTATGAAAGATGGCAATTTTAGTTAAGGAATACGGCTTATAGAGTATATGCAAGAGGACAAATTGGTCTGATCAAGGTTAGATTAAGTAAAATTAGGGGTGCGCCAAGCAACCAGGATTCACTAGTAGCGGAATCCATGGCACGATATTCAGATCGAAGTCTCTGTGTTTACAAAGGCAAAGTGCCGAGATATGTACAACCAGGATTCCTAATTTATCTCCAATAAAGTAGCTAAACCTTTAATAGAATTATACACTTGCTAAACATACAAAGCTACCGTTGGTATACAAGGATAGGAGAATAAATATATTTATATAAAATATCTCAATAGGTGTAAACTGTAAAGTGAACCAGGTGCCATTGCAAAAAATTAGTGAAAGCACGTACAAAGTGGGTATTATCATATACTGCGTACAAAGTATGTGACTATGTGCTGCTCCATACGGAAAAAAAGTTGGCGGAACAAAAGAAATGAAATTGGACAAAATTGTCCGATCAAAACCAAAAAGAGGTGCGCTAAGCACAAGCTGAGGCGCGCGAAGAAGCTCCTTACTCATTTAGCATAAACCTTGATTTTCATTTAAATTACGGTATACGGCAGTAGCCGGCGGTACGGTATACGTGGCGCGCTCAATTGAAGTTTTCCCGATTCGACTAGCGACTCGTGGGGCGCAGTTTTTAATTGAAATTTTATATGGTTCGATTGGTGAACTTTCTCGCCATTCTCCCAATTCTGCCTAAGATTTCTGAACATTCTCGCCTTCTTTGAAATTTTGTCTACTTTTTTATAGAAAAGTTGAGGCAAAACATTCAATGAAGAATCACACGAAGGCTGAAAAGAGAAGACAATGAACAGTATGTGCATTTGTGCTGTTATCTGCTGAACTGTTAACAATTGTTTTCAGATTTTTGTGTGTGTGACGCAAAAATATAGTTCTATTCTTCTATTGAATCAGTTTGTTATGCTGGATTCTTACAAAGAAGCATTGAAAAACGCATTAAAATCTGACCAATTGAGCATTGAAAATGCTTTGGACTGCATCTGATTTGGTCAATTTCAACCGGAAGATTGCAAGGTGCTGCTGAATATTGGTTTGGACTGCATCTAATTGGCTCACTTTCAAGTGGCAGATTGCAAGGTACTCCATATGTAGTCACTTTACTTTTCAATTTAGAGCCCGTTTGGAGAACTCTGTTTTCGGCTTATCAGGCTTATCAGCCAGCTTTTTCACCAAACACGTAATTTTTACTTTCGCGCGCTGGATTGTGTAATAAGCCGAAAAAGTAAGGTTGAAGTTACTTTTCTGGCTGTATTGGCTGAAGTTACTGTAGAGGACCATTTTAGCTATTTTTACATATAATTTTTTATTTAATTTATTAATAAAATATATTTTTAAAATATTTTTTTTCTTCAATCAGCAGAATCAGCCAAAACAGCCACTCCAGCCAGAATATCATAAATTTCAGCAGAATCAGCCAAAACAGCCGATTTTGGTGCTACCAAACGGGCTCTTAATTGGAGCAACCTAATATGACTAATTCAGGATACATGGTTAAAACCAAATTTTCACTAGGTTTAACCAGTTGAGCATGATCCGTTTCATAAATTTATACTTACTTTTCAATTGAGCATGGATTTGATTTCACATCGACATGGTTTATATAAAAAAAAATCCAGTGCTGCTATTGTTTGTTTTATGGTTTTCTTCTAGCTATATACGGAGTATGTATTATATTGGGGGTCCTACATTAAAGTTTTAACTGAACAATTGTTTTCAAATGTTTCTGTGTGTGATGAAAAATACTGTTCTATTAAATCAGTTTGCTATCCTGGATTCTAACAAACAAGCACTGAAAAACGCATTGTAATCTGACCAATTTAGCATGAATTTGATTAAAGAAACAATTGTTTGTGAGTTTGTCTATAAGTAATCGCACCGCACTCAGTACACTCTGGATCGAGAACGGCAACAACGGACAACGCCTAGGGCACATTTGCGAACACTGGAACAGCAGACATCGACATAAGGCTCCACGTTTTCCTGAGGCTTCTTCACAGATTGGGAGGGAGTGAGGGACTTTTACCAGGATGTGAAACAGATTGGTTGGTTCGGTAAAGACTCATTTTTACCTCACACAAATAATTTTGAAATCACTATTGAAAGCAAGTAATCCTGAATTTAGGACTTATGTTTCAAACTAGAAGATTAGGGTGAATGGTCATACAGAAGCATATGGAGTGTTTTATTACATCTTTTTTTTCATTGCTTTATGGTCTAGGTTTGAAATATGGAAGTAGAATTTGATTACATCTTTTAATCTGGTTCTTAGGTTTCTATTATGAGTGGTGACATACTGTTTATGGAAATCTTATTATGATTCAGTGGTTGGTAATGGTAAAACAACACACTTCTAGCTAAAGGTATCACATCAATTTCCGAATTTAAATTATGTTGGGTTTTCGTTTCTATCCTACTGAACATAGAAGAAGAAGGAAATTATTCCATTTAAGTTTGACTTCATGCTTAAAACAGTCCTTCATTGAAAGTTTTTTTAAATAACCCTTGCTGGATCACTTTTCCCGTTAGAAAACAGTAGCCCTTCTTGGAACTACATTCAAACCAATTTTGTCGTGTTCCTTTAAGCCCTTTGAGAGCAGTAGCTCACTAGCCCCTATTTGTTTTGGATATATTGTTAGCTTCAATTTTATTTAGTGATACTGCTGATATGTATTTTTAATAGTTCTTTTAATATGTATTTTTAATAGCTTCAATCTTTTCTTGTTTTTTTTACTGCTATGCTTTCAGTCTCTGCCAAGTATGATGTCCATATTCATCATTGGCCTCTTTTGTTCCTAAAATTGAGTTTACCAATTTGTTTACTATTAAAATTGGATGATCGCTCATTAACAATACAACACAACAATACTCATCGGGGGCTGCTTCACGCACCCCCTAACAGGGCCGTGCCTTCCCTTAGGCCAGCGAGACTTGGGCCTCAGGGCCCCAAAAAACATAAAAAAAATTAGGGCCCAAAAAATTAAATACTTTTATATTATATAGGGAAAATTCTCAAAATAGAAGTAAAAATGTTTGAAAATTGTACAATAAGACTGAAAAATCTTGTTTACTATACCCATGAAAGTATATGCCAAGTGTAGAAAGAAGTTTCTCAAAACTGAAGTTTATAATGATATCTTTACAATTAATAATGTATGTAAAAAGGTACGTTGAATGAATTAGCTATGTTATCGATCCTTTGGTTATGCCGAATTTATTAATACTTTTGCATCTATTTAGTGATATATTGTTAGCTTCAATTTTATTTAGTGATACTGCTGATATGTATTTTTAATAGTTCTTTTAATATGTATTTTTAATAGCTTCAATCTTTTCTTGTTTTTTTTACTGCTATGCTTTCAGTCTCTGCCAAGTATGATGTCCATATTCATCATTGGCCTCTTTTGTTCCTAAAATTGAGTTTTCCAATTTGTTTACTATTATAGCCAAGTTAATCCGTTTTTAGCTTTATGTTTTACTTATGAGTTTATTCTGCTTGAATCAGGAAACTGCCTGCAGGTATACTTGACAAGGTTTTGGGGAGTTATTTCCCGGGGAGGGGTACTTTCCAAACTTATTTCCCAAAATAGGGTAGTTCTAAACTTATTTCCCGAATAGGGGTACTTTTTCCTTGTCAGCGTGCCACGTCATCATTCAAGTCAAACCCGCCACATCCACAAGCCATGTCATCATATGTATCACTTAGGAATAACAAAAATTTGAGGTTAAGGGATTCGAACCCACATCCAATTAATTCAAATTTTTAGCTTTCCACCACCACACTACATTAATTTCTTGTCTAAATCTTGTATTTACGTGTACTTCTATTCATGATGTTCCAGGCTTGTTTAATTATTATAATATTGTTATTATTATTGTAGATACTATAATTATTACTGTTGTTATTATTACTATTACTACCTCCGGTTTTTTTTAATCTTCACAGTTTGACTTCACACAAAATAAGGAAAGAAATTTGACTTTACTGTAGAGTACACTGTTGAGGCACTGTTTGACACTGTTTGGCACTGTAGAGACACTGTTGAGACACTGTTTGGCACTGTTTTGATGTAGATTTCTTTGCCAAAAAAGGAAATAAGGAAGTGTGAAGTTTATTTTAGACCGTCCCAAAAAGGAAAGTGTGAAGTTTATTAAAACCGGAGGGAGTATTATTTTACTTACTATTATTTTGATTATTATTATTATTGTTATTATTATTATTATTATTATATTATTATTATTATTTTACTATTATTATTATTATTGTTATTTTGTTACTACTTTTATTATTATTATTATTATTTTACTATTATTATTGTTATTATAACCATTAATAGTATTATACGATAGTATTTATTATAATTATTATTGTTGTTGTTATTATTATTATAATTATCATTAGTAACAACAAGAATAGAAATAGTAACAATATAATAGTAATTGAAATAATAATCATAATAATAATAGGAACAAAAAAATTAAAGTAATAATAACAACAGTAATAACAATTATAGTATCTTCAATAATAATAATACTAATAATAAAATTAATTATAATAATTAAACAAGCATAGAATAATATGAATACAACTATTTCTAAATACGCCATTGTATCAAGTAGCACTCGTGGTCTAGTGGTTGAAGGCTAAAATTTTCAATTGCATGGGTGTGGTTTCGAATCCCCTTAGTCTTATAATTTTTGTTATTTTTTAAATGATAAATTGGATGACATGAACCTTTGATGTAGCTGGTGAATGATGTGGAAGTGGCATTTGACTTGAATGATGACATGGCACGCTGACAAGGAAAAAGTACCCCTATTCGGGAAATAAGTTTCGAAGTACCCTATTTTGGGAAATAAGTTTGGAAAGTACCCTCTCTTTCATGTACCCAATCGTAGAAGCTGCTAGAACTGCTGTTTTGTCCACATATTGGAGAGATGCTTGGTACGAGCTTTCATGTCTCGAGTTTGACTGGGACTATTCAGAAGTTCTCCATTTACACAACTGAGAAAGTATACAAATCTGAGTTTGATGAGTTGTTCCTTTTGGTCACACACAAAGGAATTGATGCAATCGGCATTGAATTAAATTGGGAAGCTTTTCTGGAATATAGGCTCCCTTCTTGCATCTTTTCATGCTGTACTCTAAAGACGCTGGATCTTTTTGGAGTAAACATTGAACCCATTAATGCTCCTCTCATATTTCCCAATGTGACTTCACTTTGCTTTAGTTGCGTTTGCTTCGGTGCTAGAAACCATCATCTTCATGCCGTTAATCTTCCTATGCTTGAAAGTCTGTCATATGACCAATGTTATGGCATCTCCCATTTTAACATGACTGCCCCAAAACTGGGTAGCTTATCAATCGCAGGATGTAATGATGATGATGATGATGATGATGATGATGATGGAGATGATGATGAAAGAGATGGCGAAGTTTGATAATGATGGCAACGACAACGGAAGCAGGGGCGTAGCCAGGACACTGGGCTAGACTGGGCCAGTACAAAGAATATTATTGGAAAAAAATTACACGAAATTTTTTACACTAAAAATATTGACATTTTTCAGATTTGGGGTGGGCCAGGGCCTAGCCTGGGCACACTTCAGATTTGAGAAGTGTGCAATTATGGAGGAGCTGGTATGTGTTATTCTTGACTCATCAACAAGAGCAGAAATTGTCTTTGTGTAGGAAACCGTTTGGGATAATGATGCCAAACAGAAGGAAGCTGTTTTATTCTGGTCTTGTTAGAAAGCATATGGATGAGTGATAATTATAACAATGTAGACGATTGTTATAGCTGTAATATGACCGAAGTGAGTTCTGTACAAAGCCACTGGAGCAATTGTATTTGTGATTGTTAATTGAAACAACTGCATTTCATATGAAAAATGTGTGTTTTGATATAAATCTCAATGGTGATTATGCTCCTCCAAAGAACAAGTAATAGTTGAATCCTTACTCAGTTACTCTGGGTCTGCTGCCGGATTTTATAGAAAACAGGCCTGGAATATGTTTCTTGTAGAACTAATTCTGATTTTGTTTTTCTAATTCGTAAGATTCATAAATACGGAGTATTACTGTACACATAGTTTGCAGGGAAAATTTTACAAATGGGACCTAATCATAATAACTATCCAAAATTAGGAATTACAGCTTAGCATAAAACTTAAACTTAACTACCCCTGCTTTGACCATAATGCCCATACTTTTAAATTCCATAATAGACCACAACTCATTTGAATCGGATTTCCTTTCAAATCGCAAGGCCTCACCGTCTCAACTGGAAAAAAAAATGTAGAAAGCTTAAACGGGAAAGACGACTGCGAGTAAGCGACTACGAAGAACGGCTAGGAAATCTCAACGAACAATGGCAAGGTAATGTCGACAATGAACCACAAGGAACTTTTAGGCGGTAATTCCAACGGCAACGAACTACACCCGCTTTAATTTTACAAAAATACTCTTAATTTTAATTAAATAGTAGACCACCATTCAATTTCGAGTGAATATCCTTTCAAACCGCATGGTCATAAGCAACGACGGAAAAATCTTTTGGAAAAGCGATCAGTAGAACTGACCGGGAAGTAGCTATCGGCGAATGAAGAATGAGACCCAATAAAAAGGAGAAAGAACATGAAATTGTGCTTCGATCTAGACAAGTATCTATTCAACGACTTTATTAGACAAAAGTAAATACTCCGTATAATATTTTTCAATTCAATTATTTTCAGATGTATTGTCTTCTAATGAAGAGCAATATAATGGAATCAACTCAAATCAAATGTTGATGCGAGATGTGGTTACTCCTAGACTTTGTGAAAAGTTGACCGTTGCACTTATTTAAGTATGGAAAAAGTTTTTTTTTTTTGCGATGACGGAAGAAGTATTTTATTAATAAAATAAAGTAAACACTATATGAAAATAGCTAAAATGGTCATTTATAGTAAACTCAGCCAATACCGCAAAAAAAGTAACTCATTTTTTTTATACAATTCAACGTGCGAAATAAAAAATTGTGTGTTTGGTTAAAAAGTTGGTTGATAAGTCTGATAAGGCGAAAAACAGAGTCACCAAATGGGCTCTGAGGCAATTGTGCTCCACATGTAATAAATCGCTAGTGCAATTTTTATGCTCCCTCCGTCATAAATTGAGTTGCAAAATTGACATTTTTGAGTCACACGGATTCATTTTATTCACTTAATTAGAATATCAATTTTTAATTCAAATCTAATTTGGATTTTACAATTTTGTAAATTTTAATATCAATAGGGAGAATTTAACTTTACTACTGGTTGATAAAAGAATATTTACTTTGCAAAACAATTTGGGACGAAAGTAATATCTAATTTTTTAAAAAAAAATCAAAATATATTTATATTTTTAATTATTTAATTTTGATATATCATTGAAAGCAAGTATGAAAGCAAATAGGAGTAAATAATAACTTATTTAATAGGGAAAAGTACGGAAAAGGTAATTTTGGTTGAGCCCGTTTTCAGATAGGGTCATGTGTTTCGTTCTTTATTAAAGTGGTTCATGTGTTTGAATTATGTTAGCACAAGAGGGTCACACCGTTAAAAGTAACTTCGATTTTCAAAAGTGTCCGAAAAATTAAAAGAAAAATACCGGAATGGACGCCTCAATAAGACGACCGCTAGGCCATGCTTCTTTTTTGTTTCCAGCCACCCTTGTCACCGAAAAGTCCACCGAAAAAGTGATATTAGCGAAATACTACGTAATTTTTAAAAAATAATTCAAACAGATTTGGAAAATCCAAAGGCAAAGGTGGTTTGGAGGTCATCTTGATGAGGCGCATCTTTCGGTATTTTTCTTTTAATTTTCCGGGCACTTTTGAAAATCGGAGTTACTTTTAACGGTCATTTTCAGACGTTTATAACGGTATGACCCTTTTGTGATAACGAAGTTCAAACACATGAACCACTTTGATAAAGAATGAAACACATGACCCTATCTGAAAATAGGCTCAACCCCAAGTAACTTTTCCGTACTTTTCCCTATTTAATAATAACACACAATTTAAAATTTATTTAATATTTTTTAAAAGGATTAGATTTTTTTTATACATTACCCATTTAAAAAGAGGTATAGGAAGTAGTTCTTGTAGTATACAAAGAAATATATACGGAGTAATTAAGAAGGACAAATGTGTCTATTGAGGGTTAGATTAAGCAATTTCGCCCTTAATTTATAGAAATTAATTTATTTTTGTTAACAAGATGGTTACTATCCCAAGCCTTGTTTTGCAAATTAGATTACTTATTTACCGTGCTTAGTTTAAAATAAGAAATGGCTCCCACATTTCCCTAAATAGGAGTTAACTCCTAATCTTCCCCAAATAGAAGTAAACATTAATTTTATACCCCTAATACCCCTATTCTAATTCATTATTGCCCCCCCCCCCCCCCCCCGTTCTCTTGGGCAAGTGGGCAATCATGGCAGTCCGTCGATGGCGGGGCAGGATATTAGTAGCGAGGGCAGTCCAGTGGTGGCGGTGGCAACAGTAGGGGCCGATGGAAATCCCTATTATAATTATATATTGCCCCCTAGTTAGTCATGGACCCGGGCCGGTTCCGGGCCCGGCTTTTTTTTTTGGAAGGAAGGCCCGGGACCGGCCCGGGTAGCCACCAGGTCCGGTCCGGGTCCGGGCCGGGCCTCCGGTTCGGTCATTTTTTGTTTTTGCTTTCCTACCCCCCCCCCCCACCCACCCACCCCCAAACCCCTCCTAACCATCAAGCCCAACCCGGCTAACCCCAAAAAATGAAAAAAAATAATAAAAAAAAAAAATCAATTCGGCCCGGGCCCGACCGGGCCGGTTCGCCAAATACAAGGCCCGAGCCCGGACCCGCCCCCCCCACCGGGCCTAGGCCCGACCCGGACCCGAGAACCGGGCCGGTTCCGGGCCCGCACAGTGGCGGGCCGGACCGGTCCCAGGCCGGGCCGGTCCCGGGCGGCCCGAACCGGGTCCATGACTACCCCTAGTTCCCAATACTTCCCATGAGCAAACAGGGCAGTCCGTCAGTGGGGGCAAGGCGTTTGTAACGGGGCAGTCCGGCAGAGGCGGCCAGTGGCATAGCTCCGGTGACCGGCGGGAGTTGGGCCAGAATAGCGCCAAAAACATTCTGGGAATTTTTTGGGGAATTTTACAAGTTCACTCCTATAGTCCTATTTTTGCACTTTCTATATGTTTTGCTTCTAGGGAATTCTCCCGTTTAGAATTGATCCCTCTGATATGATTGACTTTTGTGCTTGGGGTTAATTTGTGCTTGGGGATTATTTTGCGCTTGGGAAGCTGTGTTTTTTGGATGGTAGTATACTATGGCTGAGCAAAGGAATGTTTTGCTTCAGCAGAAAGGGGTATACAGGTATACCCGTATACCCCTTAATCTTTGTCACTTGATACACATTTACCTTTTACAAAAAAAAAAGGCTTAATCACATAAGTATCCAGCACCATGCCATTTGTGTGTTCGACTTCCATTTACAATGATCAACTGGTCAGGAAGGCACAGCCACATGGTGCTGTAAAGGCTACACTGCTAAAGAGCATTCAGGAAAACACAGATCACACTTCTAGAGATGCAGGACCCCTATGTCAATGGGCTAGGTGAGTCCAACACAGAATTTTTTTTTTTTTGGATGAAAAGTCCAACACAGAATAAATTTAATTTTATCCATAAAACACCAAACAGTGCATAATATCAGGCAAAGGTGAGGGTCTGAGGGATACCATGACAGCAAAGTTATGAACCTCAGATTTAATTTTATAAATTAAGAAGCAGTTTTGTGTCACTGGCAAAATCAGATCACAGAACACAGAAACAGAAATAAACAAAATCAGAAATAAATCACTACTGCATTTAAAAGACGAGCAGGTGAGGTTTCATGCCGTCCTTGAGGGAGAACCTTGCTCCCAAATAAGTCTTCAAATCCGGCACTGCCTCAATGGCTTTGATCAATGCACCATCCACCTCCTTCTGGTCATCCTTCTTCTCTTGTGGTATCCCTTTCTTCTCCTATTTATTCCACACATATACACAACAACCATAAATATAAACACTCCATACTGCAAACATGTAAATTATCAACAAAACTACAAAAGGCCAATCACCTATGGGCACAAACTTTTATCTTTTAAGCAAATCCATTTCATGCATGAACTTAACCAACAAAGGTCATATTTATGGGGTTCGACTTACACAAAAACTCAGACAACCATTATCAATACTCCAACTGCAGAGGTTATCGTACAAGTACACATTCTTTCTAATGAAAAATAGCAAGCAATCCATTGATGCATTGAAATGCACCTTTGTTCACTATGAGAACTGTTTTACCAAGATCACTGCACAAGCTTTTGTTAAAATACCACCCAAAACAATGGATTCCATACTCAATATTAATTTAAATTATGTAAAATGCCAATAGTTCATGCAAATGAAATACTGGTAAAGGTGGTTGGGGCTACTTAGTCTTATTGATTAAACTATTGACATTTTGACAAATGTCTTCAAGTATGTATTAAATTTGAACTATTGACATTAGCACACAAAAACTAAAAAACTCTAAAACCATAAAACCTCAAATGTCTTGTGGTTAACTACAATACTCTAAAATGCACATCAACATAATCAATACTCCAAATGAGAAATTTGATAGACTTTCTTTAAACTAACAAAATAAGAATTCATTTGCTTAGAGGAAGTGAACCCTCTAAACAATGAAATAGTTTGAACCCCATATTCAGAATAACACAATACCAATTTTTCGATGATGGATTGCTTACTCAATGTTTATTAAACTTTTTGCACATGTAAAAACAAAGCTTGTTGAATATCTGTACTGGCAAATCAGAGTTATCTTAGTCAAATAAATTGATCTACTATATATTCTCATTTTTATGTGAGGACAACATTCGTAAAATCTCACAAATACTATAGGTGATTTGCTATGATTAGCGGATAATAATGTACTGGGTATTAATAATATTAGTTACACAAATAAAGGAAATAATTCCATACCTCTTTTTCAGATTCAAAGAACTCTCCTTCAGTCTTCTTCTTCTTCTTCTCAGCCTTCTTACCGAAGTACTTATCATCAATCTTGTCCACATTGACCCCAGAAATGTCTACCTTGGTCGAAGTCCCAATCACATACGCCTGATTCACGCGCCGCAGAGGAACACCGTTGATCTTGAACGGGCCGGTGATAAGGAGTAAACCGGAGGAGAGCTGCTTCAGGAACACCACTCTCTTTCCCTTGAATCTTCCGGCGAGGATGATCAGAATAGTCCCCGGAGTAATACTTGACCTGAGCTTTGTAGGCTTTGGCTTGTGTTTGTTGACGAGGGGCTTCTTCACATCGTCAGCAGGGTAGAACTTCGGCGGCTTCTCCGGCACCGCAGGCTCGACGGGCTTCTTGTCGTGGCGAGGGAAAACGCCGCCGTTCTTCGCCTTGATAGCCCAAAGACCCCTCTTGTGGTACATTTGGGAGCGCGAGAACTTCCCAATTCCCCTGATTAGCTCATGGTTGCGCGGAGTGTTCTTGGGGGCCATTGCAATGGAGCTCGCAGTGTGAATGGGAAGGTCTTCTTCGGCTGATAACTGAAGATGCCGATGGAGGTTACGATTATAATACTCCGCCGTCCTACTGGCCCATTTCAGCGGAAGCAGAAACCAACAGCTTAGGGTTTCTTCCTTTCGCACCCAAAGATAAATGGGCCGAGTTCTTTTTTGGATGCCAAGTGGGTCATAGATCTTATAGCCCCATAAGTTAAGGCTATTAATTTCTACTTTGGTATCGTTGTGGGTTTTGACTGTCAAATAAAGTGTCTAACCAAGTAACCAACGCAAATGAAAGAGCAATACTGAGAATCATGAAAAAACTATTTTTGAACATAAAATTGTAAACTCTTGAAGAAAAAAATGAATGCTTTTTTTAACGCAAAAAAAAAAACAATGATTTTTTTAACGCAAAAAAAAAAATGATTTTTTTAACGCAAAAAAAAAAAATGATACAACACCTTTATTTAACCCGGTAGAAAACCACCAAAATTTATAAGACAACAACCGGTGAACATTTGTCATATTTTATTAAAGTAAGAAAAGAGCCAAGAACAAAAGAAGATGGGGACTAGGTCAAAACCTCTCCGGAATGAGCATTCCTTTTCTGAAATACAACGACGCTAAATAAGCAAAACAATGATACACCACCTTAATTAGCTCCAAACGTAATTAAACTAAATACATTTTCTTCCATATCACCACTCAATATTTGTATAATCTGTTGAAATATCATAACTTCATACGAGAAACCGCCCCAATTCAATATATATTCAAGCCCGTCTAATGAATTTGCTCCGGTTTCAAATAAAATTGGGCCACACATTATTATATAAAAAATCTCAATCTAAATACGTATATTCAAATCAATTGAATACTCATTAAATAATGTGATAGTTTTCCCCTTCTAAAAGTCACTTAATAATTGGTAAAGTAACACAACTCATTATTCAAGCAATTTGAGTAAAAATTGACCAAAAAGACCGACAAAAATGATTAATCTATATTTTTCTTCATTACTTACTGTATTTTACTGATTAGTATTAATATACGAAGTATAACATTATATTACTATATAATAATAACAATTTTTTTAGAAATTGGGCCCACATGAATTGGGGGGGGGGGGGGGCGTTTTGTATAACATACTGCAATATGGGAAACATAACCCTCATACATGCATGAGCGGATCAAAAGGCAAAACTGGTGCCTTGACCTACCTCAATTTTCTTTAAAAATTACTACGTAATAATTTTACACATTAAAAACATGTATGAAAATTTATTAAAAAATTATATGGATGAATGTTTTATCCAGAACACCCCATTTTCCTCCCATGGCTACACAATGTAGGAGTGGGTATGGTAGGTTAACCGCATTTCGGTTAACCAATTTTTGGTTAATCGTGATTTTGGTTAATATATTTATAACACAATTAACCGTATCATAACATTGATTAACCGGATAACATATAACCATAATATAGATTAACCATTAATTGGTTAAGCAAAAAACAATGTAAACAAGTAAAAATGTGCCGCTTCATTCAATTAAACCACGATTGAACTCCGTTCGAGAATTCCTATTATTATGTTACTTATTGAATTTACTGTCAAAGATTTCAAACTCTCTTGTAAGAGCCTCACAAACTCTCCCAAAAGATTAAAGGAGTGTTTGTTGAAGATTAAAAAAGCACTTTTCAGTTTTTGACTTAAAAAGTTGAAATTAGTGTTTTCAAACATCAAGTGCTACTTAGAAAAACACTTTAAAGCCGAAAGTAGGAAGCTAGTATTTGGCTGCTTGTAACTGCTTCTAGATTTTTCGTAAATAATTACTACGTACAACTTTAGGGATAGTTAGAGCATCACCAATGGGCCATTGTTGACATTAAAAAAAATGCCTCATCATTACGGTCTAACAGTTTGGAAATTTATTCATCTCCAATACACTATGTCATGGCTAATGTAATGCTAACCTGTTAATAATTAATGTAAACATTGTTAACCTCACTGTCATATGATAACAGCGGCTTGCACATGCTGACTCGGCAAACGCGGGGAGAAAACTGCTCAAATTCTAGAAATCTTCCGCGGATAAAAATATCTTTCGTCAAAAAAATTGCTTCACCACATATATGCTTCAGTAGTGGGACAATAATATCTCCCAGCGACTCCTTTTCCCCTCCTGAGGTAAAACATCGCAGATGTTCGATTCAAGGTTGAAGACTACAAGCTTTCTCTTTTTCACATCTTCCCCCAAATAAGTTTGTAGAAGTAGATATCTTTCTCCTTCGCACCACTTTTCGATTTTTTTATTTCGGAAGTAATAATAAGCTATATATGAGTGTGTGCGCTATATATGTGTGTGTGTTGCTGATAATTTTTTGGCTAATACAAAGTATCTCAGAACTGATTATTTCTGTGATAGGAGATGCGATTGATTCTCATGTTTAAGGATTTGAATAACAAACCAGAAGTGTAAAATTTATAGTTTAGCCTACGGATATATATATATATATATAATTTATGGCTTTTGATCTTAAGAGAATTGATAATTGATATTGCTATATGGGCGGTATGTAAATCTCGAAGGTTTGGCATGCAGTCCGTGCAGGTGTGTAGGCGGGGTTTGGTCAAATATGATGTACAGAGTGTTTTATTTTTATAAGGCTGTTAACACGAAGCATTGGACTAATTTTTTGGACTTCAATGTCAAGATAGGCCACTACAAGTCTACAACATGATGTGGATGACAATTCCATTTATTGATTGCCATGTGTCATAATTTATTTCATGTTAACGGTAGCCCATTGGTGATACTCTTATAATGACTAATGTATCACGTTAAATCCAAAATACCCTTCTTCTTCTCACCTACCGACGAATACTTTCGCTCCTCTCGCAACAAGACATCGTCATCTTCCTCCTTGAATATACGCGTACACACACACACACACACACATATATATTATATAGGGGTGAGATCACATACAAACTATTTCTCCCATACTAACCTACAAACGGTCACAAACTGTGCATCTTCACATTATTTGTACCGCATATTATAGTTCAAAGTGTTGCATATCATTTGTATTGCATATTTAAGTTCAAAGTATTGCATATTATTTCTATTGCATGTTGAAGTTCACAGCGTGCATCTTTACATTATTTGTACTGCATATTGAAGTTCAAAGTGTTGCATATTATTGAGTTTGTAGGTTAGTATTTTAAGCATGGTTTGTATTTGATCTCTTGTCTATATATATATATATATATATATATATATATATATATATATATATATATATAGAGAGAGAGAGAGAGAGAGAGAGAGAGAGTACTCTTCCGGTCAGGAATTCCTGACCGGAACCGCCGTCCGGACGGCGGCGTTTGGCCGCCTTCCGGGTGGAATTTTTCAATGAAATTTTTATGACATGTTCTCCATCAAGTCTAGTTTATCCACACAAAAATTCAGCCAAAAACTCATTCGGGAAGGTCGTCAAATGATTTTTGCAAGTTAACTGGTCCGGAAAATACATATTCCGGACCAGTTAACTTGCAAAAATTATTTGACGACCTTCCCGATTGAGTTTTTGGCTGAATTTTTTTGTGGATAAACTAGACTTGATGGAGAACATTCCATAAAAATTTCATCAAAAAATTCCACCGGGAAGGCGGCCAAACGCCGCCGTCCGGACGGCGGTTCCTGTCCGGAATTCCGGACATGAACTTTTGTCTATATATATATATATATATATATATATATATATATATATATATAGAATGTAAAATTTTAGATGTCAGTACTTCAAATGTGTCTTCATCAAAAATATTGATATTCTTGAAATTTTACATTATTTGTACTGCATATTGAAGTTCAAAGTGTTGCATATTATTGAGTTTGTAGGTTAGTATTTTAAGCATGGTTTGTATTTGATCTCTTGTCTATATATATATATAGACAAGAGATCAAATACAAACCATGCTTAAAATACTAACCTACAAACTCAATAATATGCAACACTTTGTTAATATAGTTAATATGCAATACTAACTATATATATATATATATATATATATATATATATATATATATATATATATAATGTAAAATTTTAGATGTCAGTACTTCAAATGCGTCTTCATCAAGAATATTGATATTCTTGAAGCACTGATATTCTTGAGATACTCTCTTTCTTCGCCTATAATAAAAAAAAATGGTGTACACTTTAAGTACAAATTTAACTGCATTTTCCTATGCGAAAGTAAAGAATAAATTATTAATGTGATGGTATACCCCGGAGCAAGGAGAGTACATACTTATTGATATGAACAACAATTTTAGAAGTTGATGCAAGAATAGCTCTACACTTTAGATATTTCTTGTTTTTGAATTGTTGTAGTAGGTTAGGGTATGTACTTAGAACAATGGCATGAACTGGGTCGTCATAGTCTGTTATCAAAATTCATTTGGGATGTGTATAGTCGCATAGCCATCATTTGGTTCAGATATTCTCCCAATTTCCCACATCTAACATCCACTTGGAAATATCTTGAATTTCTTTAATATTTGTAGTATCATTACTATTGTGAAGGCGTATATTTTTTTATACACCTATAATTGTGAAAGTAATTGTTTTGAGCATATTTCTTGTTTGATAGTATTTTAAAAATATGTCTTGTTTTAAAATTGTGTTGCTGCAGGTAGTAAGATACAAAATATATTAGAAAATTGGTAATGAAAAATAAGTGTAAATAAAAAATATTTGAAATTAGACAATCTTCTTTGGTTATATAGAAATTCATCCGCCAACCATTGTCATGTTTGCTCTCACACATGTTCAGATCTACTAACGATGCATGACAATAGCATTGTGACAAATAATTTTCTCAAGTAGTTGCAATCCTTAACTTTTTTGAGTGCTTCAAAATATTCTTTGTCATCCCCAAGCATTCCCAGTGCATATCATGCTTCTCTGAATGTAGGATATATGATGTTGGCAACTGATCTGAGGCCTTCATAGGAGCAAGGTCCTTTTGGAATAGTTATCATCAATCTCAAGTAGAACAATTCCCCAGTGGTTGGTGGTACCCAAATAAGTCTTCTAATATACTCCGTATAATGTAACTTTTTGTCCTTGGTTTCCAGCATCTTTTCCTAGAAACATAT